AGTATAATAATAAAAAAAAGGTCACAATAATACATCACAGACATTTTGTACACATAGATTTGGAATACAATAGGTAATAAGCACAGTGCTTGGTGCATAGCATGTATTCTGTATGTTTTAGGTAACATGTCCAATAAAAAACAATCTCTCCTTTAATTCTCAACTCTAGCTTTCAATTTTAGCTTCTGGTTGAGTTAACTTTGTACCTATTAGTGCTACTTATATCTTATTATTTACTAATTAGAGGTGGTTAGAGTTGTGTGTTCCTGGAAGCACCATTTACATAGACTACAGGCTGTTTTATTCCTCCTGGGGTTGTACAATTTTGTGGCCTGTTTGTGCCTTGTGTTCTTTGTATGATTTCTATCTATTAGCTCTTTCACTTTCTGGCTTGAGTTTCTGTTACTGACTCAGGTCTAGCTTCCCATTTAAGGTAAGTTTTTTACTCATGTATGTTCTAAAATTAATTAAAAAATTAGTTGCTCATGAAAATGCACACAATCTAATCAGACTCACTAAACGCATTCATAGTGGGAATTCATTTCTCTTCACATAATTTATACTCATAGCTGGAACTTGAATGATCTTTTTTCACTTGGAGAACTTTTTTTTTTTTAATTCTAACTATAGCATGAAAATGGAAACTTCTTGTCAAGTGTCCTATTTGTGTTTTCTATTTAGATTTTTGGTTTTATTCTGTGGACGTTACTGGATACAACTTTACCCCATTCTGTGTCATTGTACGAGTGGATAGAATCAAAACTATTCAAATTTAGCACAACAAGGGATTTTTAAACAATAGCATAAATAATGGGTTATTTTTTTCTACTTCTTTCAGACACACTGGTGGGTGACAGCTGAAATCATCCTGGAAACTGTCAAGATAAGAACTTGTGCTTTTCAAGAGAAGATAACTTTTGTTTAATCTTTGCTTTACATTTCCTCATACATATATTTAATATGTATTTTTTATTTATATATAGTATAAATGTCCTTTATAGATTATAACCTAATATTTTGACATCTACTTTGAAGAATGATTAGTTTGAGACATGCTTATATGAAAAATTTATCTGCTTTCAAAAATGAAATAAAAACCTTTAAAAATAAATAAGGAAGAAAATCCCAATGGAAGAATGGGAAAAGACTTAATGAAATCCAAATTGCCAATAATTATGTAAAATATGACCTATCCCACCGGAAAAAAAGGAAATAGAAATTAAAACATTTTTTCATGTTCAAATTGGCAGATTCAAATAATAATGCCAATTGTGGATGAGGGTACCTGGAAGCTCTCATATATTGTTAGTGGGAATACACATTTTAAACCGGTGGGAATATGAACACTTCCTGGGGAGAAATTTGGGAACAATACCGAGAAAATCTTTAAAAGTGGCAATCTGGCTCCTTTTCTAAAGCAGTAACTTAGATTTCACTGAGGCTCTTCATACTGTTTGGATATACAGATTTAAACAAGGCCAGACAGGTCAGGTCATTGAGTTTTTATACTGCATCATTCTGGGAAGAGGCATATATATATATATATATATATATATATTTTTTTTTTTTCTTTTTTGAGGCAGAGTTTCACTCTTTGCTCTTGTTGCCCAGGCTTGAGTATAGTGGCGCAATCTTGGCTCACTGCAACCTCTGCCTCCTGGGTTCAAGTGATTCTCCTTCCTCAGCCTCCTGAGTAGTTGGGACTACAGGTGCCCACCACCATGCCTAGCTAATTTTTTAAATTTTTTATAGAGACAGGGTTTCACCATGTTGGTCAGGCTGGTCTTGAACTCCTGACTTCAGGTGATCCACCTGCCTCAGCCTCCCAAAGTGCTGGGATTACAGGCATGAGCCAACACGCCTGGCCATATATATATATATATATATATATATATATATATATATAAAAACAAACAATGACTCTAGGTATAGAACATTTGATTTGCCAACAGTTATGATTTTCTTTGAGTCAGTGCCCTGTTTACTGTCTAAAACTAGTAGCTATGCCTATATTCTTGATGAAAATATTTTGAAAATTGGAGGCAAAGCAGAAGCAGACAAATGATCCAGCAAAATATCTGATACACCCCAACTGCTCAATCACCTGCTAAGGTATTTCTAGGGGCTTGGGTTTTTTTTGGAAGGTAAAACAAATTTAGCTAATGTGTGTAAATGGCATTTACGGCTTTTAACACTTGACTCATGATTGTTTCATTGCTTCTTAGTGGAAATAATCAAAAATTTAAATGAATAATTTTGTGATAAAAATGACATATTGCAGAAGACCTTTAACATATATTCAGTGCCTGAATTATTGGATTATTGATAAACATATCATTCTGCACTACAAATGAATGCCACAAATAATGTCTATTAGAGAAAACCTTAATAATATAAAAGTCACAAAATTAAATCTGGAAAATATATTATCTATAAACACAGACAAAGATAATTTATAATCACTTTATTTCTTTTGCAAAGTACATATGAAACAGAGTAAAATTATATTTCAAATGCTTTCCATTTTCTTTTACAAAAGTAATCATAAACTGTATACTTCATAAGAGCTTTGAGGTTTAATTGTTACATAATTCATCTGAACCTGACAAATATAGTCACACATTCTAAAGAAGACATTGTAAAAATACTGCATTGTGTAACATCTTTTAAAGGTGGTTGCAAAAAATTTGTTCTAAGTAATACAATTATATGCTGTCAAGTTTCACAAATGACTGTTTACAATGTACGAAAGCCAGAAACACGAATTTCAAAAGATTTTAACATTTCTGTTCTATAATACGGAAATCAAAGATACTGATTTGAACAATGGCCAAGTATCAAATCACAAAATTCAGCTGAAAAGTCACCTAATGAACAAGGACTAAAGGTACAAAAAAATCAGATATAATGGATCCAAATAATTTGATGTTATAAGTGAAATGACAGATTTTAGTGGTTCCTGGCAGTTTATAATAATTGATAATTGGCAACATCTTGGACTATTCGTTAGTGGACTCATCACATTTACAATGTGAGGCAGTTCTTTTCGACTTTGACTTCTTCATCCTGAAATAAAGGTTTCGCTTCATTGTCCATAATTTCTCCATATTTTGCAGGTGAACCCAATCACTTCTTTCAGTCGGAAAGGTCAATAACAAGCTAATGTGAATGACACCCTTTGGGCTGGACATTTTGTCAATAAAACAAACTATAAATGCAAATATTTTGTATATTAGAGTTGGTCTACCTGTTTATTTATACAGTGATAAAATTTATGAAGCTATTCACACTGGAGATTACTATGTTCTTTAAGTGGAAAACTTCCAGGGTATTTTTAAAGAAAAACAAAAATTACAATGAAACTCACAAAATGATCTATATAAATATAAATAGAACAAATCATGCAATTTTTATACAGAATAATTCAATGACCAGTTTGTAAATAACCTAGGGATTGTAGGTTGTTTTGGGTCCACAAACTTTATTCTATGGAAAAATCATAGCCAAATATAATTCATATATTGATGCTCAGATTAGGAAAATTAAACAAAAAATTTTGAAAGGGTTGATGAAATAAACAGCTAATGCATTAACCTTCCAACATTGAGATTTATTTCTCTTAACACTTTTGGCTTATATCTATAATATTAATTAATATCTAATACATTATTTTTGAGGGAACAAAAATGTGAAATTGAATAACTGAAATCCACCACCCTGTGCAGTAAATAAGGGGATCTGTATACATACAACAGATTACACTTACAGCGAAATTTCAGGAGAAAATGGCTTACTTTTACTCTCTGGTGACAAGATCAGGCATAACTTTGCTTTTTGGAGAGGGTTCTCATGGTCCAGGTGAGTTTAGAAGAAATTATTGTCAGTTTGAGATAAAAATATTTCCACACAAATGTATCTATCAATAGCAAGTCATTTCTAGTGTCGCAGTATAGAATCATCCTAATCAATTCCTCCAGGCAGGAGTGTATTTAAATCATTTCAGGCATGAAAAAGGCTACCCTTTCTCTTAAACATTGTCTACTTATTTTTCAGTTACCACTTTTAGTATTCAAAATGTTTGCATTCAACAAACTGTTAAGTCCCACTTCCACTTCAGCCTTTAACTGAGTGCTTTATTTTTTTATTTTTTTATTTTTATTTTTATTTATTTTTTTTTTTGAGACGGAGTCTCGCTCTGCCGCCCAGGCTGGAGTACAGTGGCCGGATCTCGGCTCACTGCAAGCTCCGCCTCCCGGGTTCACGCCATTCTCCTGCCTCAGCCTCCCGAGTAGCTGGGACTACAGGCGCCCGCCACCTCGCCCGGCTAGGTTTTTGTATTTTTTAGTAGAGACGGGGTTTCACTGTGCTAGCCAGGATGGTCTTGATCTCCTGACCTCGTGATCCGCCCATCTCGGCCTCCCAAAGTGCTGGGATTACAGGCTTGAGCCACTGCGCCCGGTCTATTTTTTTAAGTCTCTGTAGCATGATGTTATCATGCCACCAAATTATACCCTGGTTTCTTATGTTCACGATGAACAGGGTGAGAGGGAAAATAACTTTTTACTTTGATGAGAAGACACTTGAACTGAGTATTAATTAACTGCCACTGTTCAAATACACATCTTTTTGGTTAACTGTTAATGGTAGATGACAACTAATTACCAATACATCTTTTATTAAATTACCATTCACTTTAATTAACAGAATATTGAGTACATATATAGAAGTCTTTTAATAAAACATAAAATTCTTACCTAAAAGGGTATCACTGAATAATGTATTGGAAACAACATTTAGTTTAATTAACTGTTTCTCATAGAAAATACAAGCTCATTCTTTTCTTTGAAATAATGGGTCTTTACAGCAGGTTCAGATGAATCATATCCTGACCCATGTCACTGAGTTAATAATTAAATGCTCTGTCATAGGTTTTTTGGGAACAATGTTAAATTATATACATTTCTCTAAAAGTTAAAACACACACCTCTTTTGATTTTGCATCTCAATATCATATTTCCATACGCTTTAGCTTCTTTTCTCAACTGTCATGTAATTATTTTACTTTCATTCTTTGAATCATGTCTCATTGACAGCAATATATTTTTAGCCTAAAGTTTATAAAAATTTAGATCAAGTAGAGTACCTCAAAACAACCAGAGCAGCTTCAAAAACAAGTGAAGAAAACTCTGCATTTTCTTTTTATTTAGTAGAGGTCAAATGACGCTCTCAAATCCTTAACAACTCCAGGTGTTCTTTATTATCAGGCAATTAAATTACCTGGTATTACAACTAAGGTGGCAAAAAAAAAGTCAGACTAAATTCTATAAAAATATACATTCTTAAATAATTTCAAGTACTCTTTTTGAGGAGCTAAAGAAATTACCACATGTTCAATGTTAAGATTTCGTGTCCCTTTATTTGTAATAGTCTTTGGCTCTTTTGGTAACTGATCCTCAAATAAGGTATATTTTGTTTTATGGATAGTGAAAGTTGACCACAGGGTTGGAAGTTTGGCTTTTTCAATTTTGCAGTAATTAATCATTAAATGAATTCTTTAGGAGATTGATACCTCTATACTGAGTTGCAAAAATTTATAATAATAAACATCAGAGGAGAATAAACACAGTTGGGAATGTCAATGAACTATCACCACCAAATAGGTTCAAATATAGTTGCTTTTATTTATCAAAAACCTGAGTCAGTATTGATCAGTTGTGATCTCCCTGCAGTAACTACAACGTGCACACACTTCCCAAAACTGCATAAGAAAGTGAGTGCTTGGCTCTGCTTTCCTGTCTTTATTCCCCTAGCACTAGTCTTAATGATATTTGTTGCTGAACTGTGAATATATTCAATATGGAAATGTTTACATGTTAAATGAAGTATCAGAAACACAGGGTTGGCCTGACAAAAACAATTGTTGGGAAAAATATTATTAGGAAACCAGTGTGAAAAAAACAATGTTTTGAGTTTTATGAAAAGATATACTCCACAAACATGAATGTTTTTTTCATATTCAATTTCCTCATCCCCGTGATTGCCTGGTGAATCAGGTAAAAACAACAACACATCCCTCCCCTAAAACTAAAAAGAATATCAGTGTTGTTATGCTAATGAATCAACCCTTACTCTTTTTTTCCCTAGACTTATATTTGGTAAGTCCCTGAAGAAGTCCCTGAAATTAGATATTCATTATATACCTGAACTGCAACTTCATAATGTGTCAGTACTGTCATTAAAATGTGATGTCCCACACAAATGAGAGGAGATTTGTAATATCAACCTTATTTTAAATACTGAAACTAAAAATATTTCATCTTCACTTACAAGCAGAAAGATGGTAAGTTATGTGTATATGAATGTGTGGGCTGTAGAGAGTGAGGGTGTGTTGTATTAAAAATGTTAGGATTACATTTTAATAATATGAACTGTCGTTTTTAACAATCATGCCTTATTAATCTGAGCATAAACCTACCTCCTGAATTACATGAAAGGTCAGTTGTGGTGAATTTCCTCTTCTTAATCTCTTTCTCGGGATTAACACATATCCTTGCATGATGAGTTTATTCTAACTTCAAGGAAACATTTAAAAAATTATTTTAAAAACTTATTTTAATCTACAATTCCCATATTAGAGTCTTCTGATTGGCCAATGGGTTCACATTTTTTCATCACAAGCATTGGCTTTTTCTCCTTAGGAAGTAAAGAAAAGCGAGTTTCTAAGAATCAACAAAAAGTCCTTCAAATATGTTTTTGGGTGAAAAGAATTATACTCACTTAGGAAATGTAATTGTTAATTTACTTTAAGCTTCAGTTATATCTAGTAATAAAACAATTGTCTCCAAAAATGTCATTCTATTAATAGTATAACTTTGTCTTCCCATTTGAAAAGTTTTATTTCCCAATAAAACAAATAATTTCAAAATGCAAGTGTCATCTTTCATTTTACCTATAGCAAATAATCCTTTTAGGCTTGACAAGGTAGCCAAGTGTTTCCAAACAGCTTTCTTCTATTATTTTAAATGAGAAAATGTTAGCTAGGAGTACCTGTTTTCCCTTAGGGTGGTATAAGCATTTTTGAAAAATCTGAGGCAGAACTATGTTTGCCTTTAAAATGTTAATGTGCAAAATATTTACCTCTTAATTAATAGTAATGCCATCACTACAAGAGATGTCAACAAAATGTTAATGCTTTTAAAACTTTTTTTAATATTTAGAAACAATGGGATTTTACAAAAATAAAAATTTTATAACCGCTGATAAAATTTTCTCATCCAGGTAGATATGTTTTTATTTTCTTGCCTTTTTTAAAAAAACCACCAATTTTGAAATAAGCTTGAAATATATACTATCCACACCACACATCTCAAAAGTAAGGTTGCGGTAATTTAGTATAGATACTTTCCAACAGGGCCTGAAAATGGGACAAAATATGTTGACCTGATTTAAAAGAAAGTTCTGTTTTGTAAAAACATTTGCATAGTTTTTACATGTAGTGGCCTGAACCTTGATCCTTATGAAGGCAAATGCCTTTCATGCAAGGACTGGAGGCCTGGGCCTTTAGAATTAATGTGTTTATTATTATTAAGCGTTGAAGGTGTATTATTAATATTTATGGTATATTTCTATATTTTGCTGAAAATAAATCATCTTTTCTTTATGAAACTACCCAATTCCAATGATTAGCTTCTGACTGGGTTTAAGAGTCACCATTACTGTGCACAATCTAAACGATGATGAACACAGACAGTGGTGGTGTTCCTTTGGTGTCTGTTAGTACAGTCTATCAGAAATACAGGATCTATATGATAGCTTCAAGTCACAAAAAATACATGTCACAGTACTTGAGAACCTTACAAACACTTAAAAAATGAACTTCTGATTCTGTTCACTTAGAAATACTAATGCTACATTTGAGGTGAAGATTATTAGAATTTAAAAAATATCAGTTAAACAGTGCAACAGATATTTGAGCTAACGTTACAGTAAAACAGTATAAAATGGTAGCCACAATGGCTCAGCCTCCGTTTTTCAGCCAGTAAGCATTACTTCTTAAATTTATATTCAAAATGATTCTTTAAATTTACAGCTTTGTCTGTGTGTTTTAAAGAACAAGCTTGAGAGACAAAGTTTTGAGTTTAGCAGAGCCAAACCTCACCAAGAAAGTAATTTTCTGAGAATGAAAGAAAGTATTATCAGATAAGTAACATTAATTTGATTGTGCAAGGATTTGTTGTGTAAGTTAAGTTCAAAATCTCCTTTTAAGTTTATATAGAACCACATGCACAATTAGAAATGAACACAGTGTAACAAAATCAAACCCATACATATGTGACATCTGCTACTTTGTACAATAGCAGCATAAACTATATTTAATTTTAGATAAATATGAACTGTTTAAAAAAATTTCTTTGCTTATGTAAAGAATTACAACATAGTAAAACACTCTGTGCTAACAGGCATTTGACGCAAAGGATAAAATGCCTTATGCAACTAAGGACTATATGTATTCAAGTAAAATGTATTGATGTTCAAAGTTAAAAAATTGACAATAAAAGTAAATGAAAAAGTGCACATCAAGTTTGTTGATTACTATGGATATATTTTAAATGAGGAAATCAAACCTTCTACTTTTTTTTTCTGATTGAATGAGCACGTGATCCTAGGTTCTTAATATCATGGTCTTATTTTGGAGGCATTATGGTGTGGAAGGTGGTTTAGGAGAAGGGCAGGATCCTTGACTATCAAAACTGGTCGCCCGGCCAGGTAACTGAAAGACAATAATTTCATAACATATGATCTAGTACAGAAACAGAATACAGTGGCTAATCATCGCTCCCTTTTAGTAGTGAATATTCAACCATAATATGTGAATCTCTGAAGAAAAGAAATACATAATTCCCTTTGCCCTTCAGAACTTACCTTCTCTGCTACCATGAAGCAACATGGATGTCTCATAGAATGTAGGCGGAGCATGGTACACAGATGTACATGGAGCAGCCCTGTGTAGACAACTATTTATAACTGCAGAATAATTTCAAATTTTACAACAGGGTTTTAGCTTTTTTTCTACAAAAAATAAATGGTTTACTTTAGTAAAGTAAAGCCCGGCTAATTTTCATATTTTTAATAGAGACAGGGTTTCACCATGTTGGCCAGGCTGGTTTACTTTAGTGAGGGGCAATTTCTAGGAAAGAGCAGTAAGAGACTAAACACAAGAGAACTGAAGTAAACACAAGGTACTGCATTCCACTTGCTCTAAGGCCGGAGGTGATGATGGAGGCAGTTAATGAGATAAGAACTGCATTTGGCGGATGGGAGCCCCAAGTGACAGAGATACTTTTGCACAATCCTTAAATGCCTATGTGTATTTAAAAAGTTTAATGACAACAAAACGAATGATTATCTAGATAAAAGGAACCCAATTTTCTTTTTCTTTTCTTTTTTTTTGAGATGGAGTCTCACTCTCGTCGCCCAGGCTGGAGTGCAGTGGTGTGATCTTGGCTCACTACAACCTCTGCCTCCTTGGTTTAAGTGATTCTCCTGCGTCAGCCTCCCAAGTAGCTTGGATTACAGGCGCCTGCCACCAAACCTGGTTAATTTTTGTATTTTTAGTAGAGACGGGGTTTCACCATGTTGGCCAGGCTGGTCTTGAACTCCTGACCTCAAGCGATCCACCCGCCTTGGCCTCCCAAAGTGCTGGGATTACAGGCGTGAGCCACCGCGCCCGGTGGAGGAACCCGATTTTCTACATGATACTTTAGTCTTTGTTGTACCAATGGACACAACTCTCGAATAACTCTTCCCTTCTCATATTTATGCCTTCTGTGACAACAACATATATAATTACATACTTATTTTTCCTATAATGCACAATCCAGCTAGTTCTTAGGTCCCTAGTCCATATATTCTGTTTGATCAATGAATGTAGAAACAGGGGTTAAAAGGAGCTCTTTTGCTGGAGAATGTATATTTACACAATCTTGCTCTCAATAACTATCTGGGATCTTTTTCTGATGACTATATCGTAGCTTATCTTCCTGTATATTCTATCATGACAAAAAAAGTGTCCACACGTTCCCAAACAGAAACATGTGCCTATTACGAATCCCCCTTCATCAGAGAAATGCAAAGCTGCTTATTAAGCACTAATAAATAATTACTATGCCTTGGTCATAAAGCACCCTTCTGTCATTCCTTAAGAGTTCTTGCTCACATTATCTCATTTCTCCCTGCATCATCCCTTTGCAGCCTGTAGAGGCATGCAGTTCTATTTTTGTGAAACATGGAGAAGTGTAGTCGGAGGCGGAGTAAACAGCCTGCTCAGAAGTAGACAGCCAGAGAAACAAAATTAGAATCCACCTCTCCACTCAGAGTGAGTTCCTGCCCAACATGGCTTTACTCTCCTTTTTAGATTTTTAGAATTAATGTTCACTTTTCACACGAAAAGATGAGAATCAGGAAAAGAATACTAATCATACAATAAGCAGTAAAGTGTACTTTAGACAACATTCACCGTTTGAAACAAATAATAACTTTCTAAGATGTGAGCTACTCAGAGAAGACACATCTATACTTATGAAGTTCTAGGGGAAAACACCAAGTGACTGGGTATCTCTCTCTCTCTCTCTGTGTGTGTGTGTGTGTGCAGATGCATTTGTGTGTGTGTGTCTTTTATGATTTATACTGAATTATGAAGTCAGATAAAGACCTGACACATTCACATATAAACAGATACTGACGACGACAGTTCACCTGCGTGAGCATGCAATGCTCATTCGGTGTTCATCCTATTTCCCTTACAATGGCCTTAGTAACACAGCCGAGGTCGCGTTTTTTTGTGACCAAACTGAGATTAGAACCTGGTCCCACTGATACTTAGTCAATTATACTGCACAGTCTCTCCCATTCAATCCAGTCCCTAGTGCTGGAACAAGAAGCACTAAGCACTTAATATTCAGCATTTCTTTAGTTTTACTCTGAGTTTACCACTATTTCAGAGTCAGAGCAGAAACACAGAGGGTAAAGCAACTTTCCTGAGGTTTTACAATAAGCAGTCACACAGCAGAGCCAAGCCTTGAACTCGACTAAACTGACACCTCAATATTTGTAAAACCTGAGGGCAGTTTTACTTCCTGATCAGAGTTGAGGGAGACATATCTTCCCCGTTACGCAGAAAAGTTATATTAGGTGACAGCACCTTTATTTAGGGATTGTGGAAAACTCTGGGTAAGGTGACTGTTTCTTACAGAAGAGAAGGACAAAAATGCAGTTTCCAGTTAGTAATAAACTTACTAGATTGCTCCACCATTCACAGATGTAAGTTTTCAGACTATGCAAAAAAAACAAAAAAAAAAACAAAAAAAAAAAACAAAAAAAAAAAACAAACAAAAAACCAAAAAACAGAAACAAAAAACAAAAAACTTGCAAATGGCTTATTGTCCATAAGAATACGAAGCCCAGAAAATGTAGTGTTTTTTAAAATCCAAGAAGGCACGCAGAACTTTGAATATTAAATGTTAGAGAATGTGGGACAAGAGCAAGAACAATCTTTTCTATTTTTTTTAACAAGGATGAATACATAAAATATCAGATAAAGGTTAGCAGATAAATACTATTTAAGTAAAAGAGACAACAAAAAGAGCAGATGTAAGGAACTCACAAACTTACCTCCAGCAAGGGGTGCCAGTGTGTTATTGGTTTTCGATGATAGGCCAGCATTTCATTCCAGTGGTCTCGCCCAAGACCCTCAGCATCCAGTCCTGTTCTGCATACTCCTATGACCTCATTGTGTCCTACCCTATGATTTGTGGAATATTATACTTTCATTTCCAACATTCAAAGATAAAGGGAGTTTCACAAATCTTAGTAGAATTTGAAGCATATGATTAAAACATTAGATTCTGTAATTTTGCAGATTATACTACTTCAGACCGAAAGAAATCTCTTAAGTAAATCAACATTTACTAAACAGTATCAACATTCAAAAAATGAATGTGTATAAGAGGCACACACAAACCATTTCAGTGCTTTGTAGTTTAAGCACATTTCATCATAATAAAAATGGCACGAGTGAGAAATACCAGTAGGTCTTTAGCTATATGAGTGTCTTTCTTGCAAACAGTCTTATTTAATATAAGTGATGTGAAGCAAATCTTGTTCTTTCCACGAGGCTTAATGTTTTATAACGATGTTTAGATTTCTGACCAAGAAATACAGTACCAATTTTCTTTAATTGGCTCTAAATGATATGTCAGTGTGTTACCACTTGTATTACAATTAAATAGGGCAGGATTATGTTCAGTTGCATGGCATGTGATTTATTTTTGCATAACAGAAAACATACTGGACAACATTTGTATTTTCTATTCAGGTCCCGCTTTCACAGCAATGAATCAAGATGATAATAATAACAGTTAATATTTTTGAGAGCTTATTATGTGTCAGTGTTCTAAGTAGTTTAAATGTACTGACCCACTTAATTCTCCCACCATGACCATGAATATCATTATTATCATTCTCTCGTTTTACAAATAAACTAAATGCCCAGAAGGTTAGGAGCGGGCCTGACTTTACACACTTAGTAAGAGGCAGAGACAGGAGCTGAATCAAATGAGTTGTTGACTCAAGAGCACATGTGGTTAAGCTGCTTCTCAAGAATGGAATGTCATTGGAAGGAGCTTTCAATTTTGACAGACATCTCCAAAGATACTTTTGGGATGATTTTAGAACAATTTCATTACCCTTTTCCCATCACTGATGTAGATATGTATATGTAGTATTATTTTCTTTAATATGGAATTTCCCCAACAAGCATGTTTTTAGGTACAAAAATTTTGTCTTCCTGTGCGTATCTTGTTAGCATCCATTTCCGTAAAACCGCCCAAGTGACAAATGCTCAGTTGCATCCACCTGCACTTACGGCTGTGAGAAATCAAGGGGGGTAACTGGCAAAGCAGAAAGGGGCTCCCGACAAAAACATCTGCAGCTATTTTAGGCTTGAAATTCCAACTACTTCAAGAGTTCTCTCTCTTTCTAAATAGTAGTCACAAGTGAATTGTGCTAATAGATGGTGCTTGCAAATGTTATTTTCCAGTGTTTTTTCCCTCTAGCTCTAAGCCAGAGCTGAGCACATTAATTTCTCTCAGTTATAGGGTCCTGGTGATGATACTATAAAATGGACACTTCGTGTTTGTTTGTGTGTTTTAGAACAAAATAAATGTACTAAGCTACTCTTTATGCGCTGACAATGTTTTGGTTAAAAACATAAGCATTCATTTCCAAAAACTGTATAAATCTAAAAGGCAAAATAATAAGAGGAAGTATACAGTAAGGCCCAAATAAGAGACAAACTGTTGATAGGACAAGAGTTCAGAGGAAGAAGAGGATTGGTCAGCAAAGCAAGACTTACAGAGGTGCTGACATAAGCAAGGATGTGGGGTGTTGGTGGGACAAGATACACGAAGCTGGAGGACAGTCCAGGCAACGGGGAGAGTGGGAGGGCAAAGGTAAGAGCTGCAGTGGGAAGGATCTTCAGAGCTGCATAGGGGAGGCTGCAATGTTTTCGTGAAAGCAGGAGTGACTCAAACCGTGTGATCTGGAAGCACTATCCATAAAGCAATGCTTTAAGATTAATGTGAAGGCATCAAAGCTGTATCCTTATGGCTACTATTCACTTTCCACTCTTATTCCTCATTGTTTACAGTTCTATAGGATGCTTAAGTTTTACAAATGGGAAAAGTGATTCTCAAAGTGATTATGTAACATGTCCTCTCATGCAGCTAGTTAATGATAGAGCTCGGGTAAGCACCATGATATTCATATTCCAGCCTAGTTGGTAAAACAAATTCTGTTGATTATAATCTCTGTTGTTACTGTAAAAAGACTCCACAATAGTGCTTTCCTGAATATGTTCTATATCACTTCTGGACCCAATTCTTTCACCAGTCCCAGGTGAATTTTAATTTAAAGATGACTTCTTTTGGAAATGAAAATCCAGAACTCTAACACAGAAAACAACGAATTTTGAAGGAATCAATATTCCCTCCTCCAATTTAAATTAAAATTGTTGTAGCAGTAAATGACCTGAAAAGCTGAGTTTGGCTTGTGCATGACTACACGTGGCTGCCGTTCAGTGAGTAGAGAGAGACACATACCTATCGTAATCCATGACTGCAATGGAGAGGCTGACTTGGTCCACGTTCTCTGGAGGGATGTCAAAAATAATGGCCTCATTGTACACAGGGTTTAGAGTGTTTTTCTTTGTAGTTGTTTTCCTCTTTTTTAATCTTCGACCTTCACACATCAGGGACACTTTGACATAAGGATCTAGGAATAAGAAGATAACTTTATTAGAATAAAAGTAATAGTACAAAGTATAAATAAAACTGCAGTTTATTTTTACTAAATAAGACATACAGTACTAAGGCCTATGTTAAGACCTTTAGTATTACCAATTTTAAATTTGTCTCCAAAAAAATAATAATTCTAGTAAGGTTAGTTTCTTTCAAAATGGTCTAGAGTAAGAAGATCAAAACTTGGGAAAGACTTAGCAACACTGTACCTAGACAGATAGAGATCACAATAAGCAGCAATTAGAGAGCAAAAAATGTACTTGGAATTTCCTTCAAGTACTGGAAAAGGACCTAAAATTAAAAATATCATTTGCTTAATAAGGAACTTTGATTGAAAAAAATGATACTTACAAGTGATTTATTGCATGCACAGCAGGAAATGATAAAAAAGGGGATATTTGGTTTAAAGATGGCCACACAGGAAGAAGTCTCCTGATACGACATTGTCTACATCATGCCAATTGCAGGAGAAAAATTTAGTTGGGCTACATTTTTATAGTCCAAAGGGAGCAGATAATTGTTAACAAGTTCTGCTACAGCTGACTTGATATCTCTCCTATTACCCTTACCATCTTAAATTGTAAAACTGCTATAGTATTATAGAAGACTATATGATGGTTATACAAAATTTCCAACAAGCCTTACTTTTGCACCTTCTATTCAAAGCAGGTATGGTTTTGGGAGGTGATATTGACATTGGGTTGAGCACACTAGATAGCTAAACAATCAATGTCTGCTATCTTATTTTTTTTCATTCTGACCATCCTCTACCTGTAGCACCAATATTTCTTTTTCCCTATTTCCACAGTAATACATTTTATTTCCATAGAATAAACCAAAATGATGACAATATTAATTTATTTGAGCATGTGAATGCTTTATAAACTCTTGAAATATGTATCTGTATATTTCCAAAGCATTCCCATCAAGAAGCAAAGTATTCGTGGCTGGAAATGGGGTATATAGAGGAAAACAAGATAACAGGGTAATGTTAATCTCTGTTTCCTATTTATTTTTAAATTTTTAAATAACAGGAAGTACATCCTAAGGAGAAGCTCATTTCTGTGATACAGCTTTGTGTTTGAGCCCACAGGCCTAGGCCTTCTAATGAACAATAGGAATGAGAGGCATGGATTACCCTTTGTAACTCCCATCACGTCTCCGACTGCATTTCTCTGCTTGTGACAAGGATAATTTACTGGCTCTTTAGTTGATTCACAAGCCTGTTGTGAGGATTAATGAGGAGGTGCTCTCAAAGCAAGCGCTTCTCTGATGAAAAGTTTCATATAAGTAAAATGTAATCTTGCACTTAATTATAACTTTGATGTTGTTTTCTTGTCTCAAAATTTGATCTCTTTTCATACACGGTAAAAAAGAGTAGAATAAACAATTTGCAGAGTACACTGTTTATCTTAAATTCTTCAACATTTACTGACCCAAGACTTTTTCAACAAAATTAATGTAGAATTTACTTGTTGTTCTACTTTCACATACACACTATGTATTGCAAATTTTAAAAAATGAACATCATGACATAGTTCAAAAATCCATGATAGATATACAATAAGTAGTCTCTCTCCCATTTGTCTTCATCCCTCTTCATCCCTTAGTTTTTGTATATCACTTCAGTATTTTTAATACAGATATTAGCAATATGAATATATATATTCCAAATTTCCCCATTCCTACACAGAAGGGTGCATAATATTCATGCTAATTTTTTACCTCTTTTTAAAAATCCACTTGTACATCCTGGAGCTATTTCCACACTAGAACTTACAGTTCCCTTATGTTTTTTGTGATGCAAATTTAGATTTTGTTGTTGTTCTGCAAAACCACAAATTATAGATCTTCCCCAAATGTCATCCTTTATTTCCACCACTATTTCTTATTTCTGTTTAATACAACAAATGCCTACCAGTCTCCCTTCTCTTCCCTTATCATTTTTCTTCCACAGAGTTGTGCCAGTGCTTATGTATTAAATTCTAAATAATTACCCAGAACTGCAGTGAATTAAATAAAGGGATGAAGAAACATGATGTGTCTTTATCTTTTTATCAGAGTTAGCACAAGAGGCATTTCCTTCAAGAATTTCTTTCAGAATCTTCAAGAAGCATTAATTTATTTTATTATTTATTTCAGACACTAGAGATGCACACATTTTTAGTTAGGTGGCAAAAATGCAAATGCAAATGATGGTCGTGGAACATGGTTATTTCTCTGCAGATCAGGTGAGGGGAATAAGTTCAGACTAAAATATATTTTCACATGGCCTCACTCACCACCTAAAGCCTAAGAATCTTCCTTTATAAACAACTGACTAGCTGAAAGTAGGGGAGTAGATGGTAAATTACGTATTTTTGAGACAGCACTAAATTGGTAGAGGAAGAAATAGAAACCAGAACCCAAATTCAGATCGATTTGATAACACCTTTTAAAAATTTCATATTGATAATGTAAATAAAAGAGATGAATTGGAACATTTAAATTTGTAATCTTGTTTTTTCTTTTGTAGTACCCCATTATAGACAAATAATTCAACAGTCATTTATTTGGGATTGTGCTCTTGGTCCTATGGCCATTGTGTACATACCTGATGAGCCAGTAATATCCATCGCCTTCAGATTTCTGCACTTAATGACTGTCAATGTCATACGCCCTGCCGTCGGCAAGTAACAAAGGGAAAACATGATTTCACCCAGGTCTACGCTTTCCTAGAAAGGCAATCGGAATGTTAGCAATTTCAAACACTGAAGGGTGAAAACAAAAAATAATGAAAGATGTTGAATACAAAATCACTTTAGTAGAATACTGGAGTGTCATTTTAAATTGTTTTATTGAGGATAATACAGATAACATTGCAAGAAAGCTATTCTGAATGCAGTAAGCAAAATGATTGTATCCCAGCTGCTTATTTGCTATCTCCACTTGTATTTACAACAAGAATCTCAAACTTAACATAGTCAAAACCAGACTACTGGTCCCACCCATGCCCCATCATCTTCCAAAACTGATTCTCCTGTCAGCGTTTCCACAATCAACAAATGGCATCACGATTCACCCAAAGGCTGAAGCCGAAAACCCAGTAGTGACTATTATTCTTTTATCCTCACCCCTATGAGCAACCTATGGGTAAGTCCTATCTACACTATCTACAAAATATATCCCAAATCAGTGACTTTCTTTTTGGCTCTATTACTGCCATTCAAGCCACCATCACTGCTTGCCAGGATTACTTCACTAGCCTCGAAAACAAAACTCTCATTCCAGAAGTTAATCTTCACGCAGCAAAGTGAACATTTATGAAATGCAAATCTCTTGCTTAAAACTGTCTAAGGGATCACAACTGTAGTGGAATAAAATCCAAACTCCTTACTTCGGCATATAAGTGGAATAACTTCAAGTCCTGGTGTGCCTGGGACATTCCTGGTTCATACCTATTATTATGGGGTAATTATTAAGAACATCCCCATCCACATTTGTTTTTTGAGACAGAGTCTCGCTCTGTTGCCCAGGCTGAAGTGCAGTGGTATGACGAGTGATTCTCCTGTCTCAGCCACCTGAGTAGCTGGGATTACAGGCATGTGACACCACGCCTGGCTAGTTTTTGTATTTTTAGTTTCGACTGTTGGCCAGTCTGCTCTCAAACTCTTGACCTCAAGTGATGTGCCCACCTCAACTTCCCAATCTGTCCACACTTAAATATGTCTTTGTTTGGCTAATACATTAGAACGTCGCACATAAGGTTTATGTCTTCCGGGCCCTACCTTTCTCTGTAACATTTTCTCATTCCTCTCCCCTCCAAGGTCTGATGCAGACACAAATGTCTTTCTGTGTGTGTGTGTGTATGTGTGTGTGTTACTCAAACAAATGAAGTTTGTTCCTGCTTTGGGGCCTCTGTTTGTTTTTTTCCCTTTGACTAGCACTTCTTTCTCTTAAATCTTTATGTGGCTGACTTTTTACCATGCAGAACTCAATTCAAACAGCATTTCTGTACTGGGGCCTTCCCCCATCATTCATTTTGAGACTGCACACCCTTCATATCCTATACTCACCCCACTCCCAGACCCTTCACATATTTTTAGTAGTACTTATTGTCTGATATCATCTTTTAAATTCTTTCTTGTTTGTTTCCCTGACTCTCACATATAACACCCAGGAGAGCAGGGTTCTTGGCTGTCTTACTTTCTACGACGTACTGAAGAGAATGGTGCATAGCTGGTACATACCAGTACATATTTTTTGAAGAACTGAATATATTATTTAATTAATCTGGATAAAACCTGACCTGTTTTGTTTCATTTTTATAAAGCATAACGGTCCACAGTACCCTGATGTTGATTTATACGTGGTCTTTTACTGCATAGATGGTGGACAAATGAAAATGAATGTGGACAATGGACAATTTAGGATGCCCCTTAAAGAGCTGTTTACAAGATTCAATGAAATCATGCCTGGTAAGAAATTCGTGGCAGGTTTACTTTTGGGGGAGATGACTTGCTGATTATGCACCCAGGTCCACAGAGCTGGGGTCTTAAACTTTTTTCATGATACACTGTTAACATCTATTGGGCTTACTCATATAGCTCAGGTTCTGATTTACATGATTCTCATTTCTTTATTCATGGTCTAGAAGTTGGAGAGACCAGTAATTCAGAGAAATAACTTTAATTAAATTTGTGTTTGACCCCCAGTTTTCTACTTTCTAAAAGTGAGACCCTGGGAAATTCAATTAAGTTTTTAATCTCCAAAATTTCATTTTCAAATTGATAAAAACATCCACTTCACAAGGGTTGTAAGCATTAAAGGAGATAATGTAAATAAAGCATAAGGCATTTTATACAGTGTTTGGCATGTGATAAGGAATGATGTTTTCTTTACTACTGTATTGCTAGCACGTAGAGCAGTGTCTTACATATATCAGGAATTCAGTAAGTACTGGATAAATGAAAAGCTTAATAATGGAAGTGATTATTATTTTGCAAGATTAGCAAACAAAAACTAATTTAAAAAAAGGTATATCCAACTGGATATCCTTTGGGCTAGTGGATTGCTGTAGACCAAAAATCCCATAGAAGAGCATTGAGGAAAAACCGGAAGAGCACAACCTCCTGCTGAAGAAGGAACATCCTCTTCCTTCTAACCTTTTTTTTTTTTTTTTTTTTTTTTGAGACAGGGACTCTCACTCTGTCGCCCAGGCTGGAGGGCAGTAGTGCAACCATGGCTCATGGCAGCCTCAACCTCTCCAGCTCAGGGGATCCTGCCACCATAGCCTAGCTGAGATTAAGGCATGTGCCACCAAGCCTGGCTAATTTTGGTATTTTTTTGTAGAGACAGGGTTTTACCATGTTGGCCAGGCTGGTCTTGAACTCCCGGGCTCAAACGATCCACCTGCCTTGGCTTCCCAAAGTGTCGGGGTTATAGGGGTGAGTTACAGCGCCCAGCCACCATCTAACAATTTTTGAGCATTATTTGCCAGGTGCAGTGGTAGGTGCTGCAGACACCAAGATGGACATGGCATGGTTTGGCCCTTGGAGGTCTCAGTTGAGAAGGAAGTGAGTAGGCTTTAAAGGGCTAAGAAAATATGTCTGAATGCCATTTTTATCTGTTGATTCTCTCCTTGTTTCTCTTTCTGCTTCTTCGTCCAAGTGTTTCTTCAGGCTCACTCTAAGGGCTTAAATTTTCCATCTGACAGCCATTCCCCTTTCCCTCATTGGGTATGTCTCTTTTCAGTTACTATAAATAAGTGTAGGCATATTTTGTTGCCAGCTGGTCAAATAAACGATCTCTTAATGAATGTAGATCATGACACCAAGTTCTACGGAGAAACATGGTGGGGGTGGTAATGGAGAACTGAGAAACAAAAAAATAGGAGACATATCTCAGGCACAAAATGCTTAGATTCCAATAGGATACAAACCACATGAAGAGAGGGAAAAAAAGCACACAGTGTATTCTATAGGAATTAACAAATAAAACATATTTCACATGTCTGACTTATATGGTTTTACTTTTACACGTTAAACCATCTGTGAATGGGATTTTTCTACTCCTCTAGATACATTACATGCTTATTAGTTGGAACAAAGAAAGTTCACTATGTTTAGTTCCATCTTTTAAAGATCTTTTATATGGATTCAGTTGCAAGTTAATTTTGACCATCTGTTATTAACAGGTATTTGATAAACATGGAGAAGTTTGACTGAGGATTGGCCAAAACACTAACCTAAATAAATTTAAAGCACAGATTATCATTAAGGGGCATCTTCCAGTAGCTCTTTAGTACACGGTGGTTGGCTTTATGCCTATAACACTAGGAAGAACTTCACTTAAATATTAAACTCAGCTGGCATGGTGGCTCATGCCTATAATCGCAACACTTTGGGAGGCTGAGGTGGGCTGATCACTTGAGGTCAGGAGTTTGAGAGCAGCCTGGCCAAAATGGTGAAACTCTGTCTCTAGTAAAAATACAAAAACACTAGCTAGGTGTGTTGGTGCACAACTGTAGTCCCAGCTACTCAAGAAGCTGAGGCAGGAGAATCGCTTGAACCCGGGAGGTGGAGGTTGCAGTGAGCCGAGACTGGGCCACTGCACTCCAGCCTGGGCAACAGAGTGAGACCCCATCTCAAAAAAAAAAAAAAAAAAAAAAATCAATTAGAGACCAGTCTGGCCAACATGGTGAAACCCTGTCCCTACTAAAAATACAAAAATTAGCTGGGTGTGGTGGCTTATGTCTGTGATCCCAGCTACTCAAGAGGCTGAGGCAGTAGAATTGCTTGAACCTAGGAGGCAGAGGTTGCTCTGAGTCGAGATCATGCCACTGCACTCCAGGCTGGGGAATAGAGCAAGACTTCATCTTAAAAAAAAATAAAAAATTCAAACTCCGTGTAGTCAGGAGTTTTTAGAAAATTGAAATGAATTGGGTGGTAAAAATTAACATAAGGGATGCATACATAATAACTGTACAAAAATTTAAGTCTTCATTAAACTAATTTTTTATTTCAAGAAGTGTGAATGTGAAAGAACAAACTGCCAACACATTGCAAAGGACAGAGTACTCTCTAAGGTAAATATCAATATTCTTAAGCTTTCAAAATCTGGAAGTGATCTAAAAGATTACCATGAGAAAATGAAATTAATGAAGGTAAGTGGCTGCATGACCTTAAAAGGGCCCTATAACATATGTAATGCAGAACTCTAGAATTTGGTAACTGCTCTGAGTTACTCTGTGAGCTAATTCTCACTACCCTCCACTAAATCTGTGCCCTTATTGATAGTTCAACTCCAACGAACAGGTGGAGTCTTAAGGGCCGCCTCTTCTGTCTGCCACGTACCACTGTGGTTTAAAAGGTCATTCTCATCCCCCAAAATCCAAGCACGTTAGTGACCAGTCAAGAACCAAGAAACAAATTGAAGGGTCTCTAAACATATGGCATAAATATAAGGAAATTATACAATAAAGTTATTTATATAAGGAGTTTATATCACTTTTTTCAACACCCATTTGCTATTATTTTAGACAAAATTTTAGCAAGAATGTCTACTTGCTATATCAATCTACTGCAGGTCCAATCTCATATATGCAATGTGGAGATGGGGAAATTAACAGCAGTAGGTCTAGTGCAGACAGCAAGAAAAAATAGCTACAAAGACACAAAACTGCTAAAAAAAAAAAAAAAGCAGATATTCTAAAAAGAATAGCAAATTGGAATCA